CACACACACACAAAAAAATAAAATTTCTTTTTTTTATTACGTTTCATTTAATTAAAATACGTAATTTTTTATTTTTTATTTTTTTAAAATAAGAAAACACTTGTAAAATAAAAATAAAAATGACCGCGTTGTAGATCTCTTCAAACCTTACAACCCTTTTTTTTTTTTTTCCATTATTTTTTTTTTAAATGTTTGAAATTCTCGGCCGCACCGACCTCAGGGGTCGACCTCAGCGGTCGGGATCCCGAGCGCTGGCCGAGATTGACCCCGCGGTCATGGTCATGACCGCGGGGTATACATAGGCCGGAGGAGACTCTGAAGACTGGGACCTCGAGCGCTCGACGAGAAGCAACGACACGACGCTCCCCCGAGTATGAACGGAGGGAAACCAGGGCGGATAGGCGCGGGGACGACTGGAGAGAGAGTTCACGAGATTCCTATTGGAGGGACAGAGACAGGGATAGAGCACCGCCCGGCGTGTCTTCGACCCCCAGACGGGGGAGTCACATCCGCTTCCTTACGAGAGTGAGGATCGCTATATTATTACACACAACGCCTCTGAGCCTCCTACCTTCAGGGGCTATGGTGTCACAGAATATCTGGAGAAGTGGGAGCTTCATGCAAGCCGGAGTCAGTGGTCGGAGGAAGAGATTATAGAAAACTTCGTATTTAATGTAGATCCAAGTCTCGGCAACGAAGTTAAGGAAGCCCGACCGAAGGATGGGAAATGGACTACGTATAAGAAGAACCTCATTGAACTTTACAAATTGTAGGATAACAAGTACTCCATCATGGACCTTGAGACCATGACTCAAGATGAGGACGAGAGTGTACGGGCATTCGGGAAGCGTTTCCAGAAGATCTCTGACATGCTGATGAAGAAGAAAAAAATCTCAGAGGTCGAGCGTTGTACTATCTTCATTGGACAACTGTCCAAAGGTAGACAAAAGAGTATACTTAGAGATCTCCCGCGTGACAAACTTAATTTCCCTGAAGTCCTAAAGCTCGCGATAAAGGCAGAGGCAGACGACTACAAGGACTTGGTATGGAGGGGTATGAGGAGACGTGACTTCTCTCTCTATAAGGAGTATGCCACTGATAGGTGTCCTGATTTCAAGGAATATCCCTGATCGGAAAAGAATGAAAGGGTGGCCGAGGAAGTGAAGGAGATAAGGGACATGGTAAAGGGATTGACAAGACAGGTTACAGAGATTGTGACCAACACAGGAGCCACGACTTACCGGGACAAACCCGGAGGGCCCTATTCACTTCGCTGGGACCGTAGGAACACCGATTCCTGGAAGAGTGTCAAGGATAGAAATCCTCGAACGCTAACTGATTATCGTGCAAGGGAGAGGGAGAGAGATGATGAGCCATGGCGACGTAGGGATGATGAGATAGACCGGGACCGCAGGGCTCGCGAGACGTATGGACGAGCTAGGAGGCTGGATGATTACTCGCGTAGCCCTTGATATGAGGTTGATGGGGGTAGAGGCGACTCTCGAGGTCGGTGGGAGTCAGATCGGGCCTGACGAGACGGATACAGGGATGACAGATATGAGAGGTCGGACCGAGATGGATACAGGGACGACAAATATGAGAGGTCGGATCGAGATGGATACAGGGGTGGCAGATATGAGAGAGGAGATCGAGACGGAGATCGACGAGATGGCTCGCGCGGACGGTATGACCGCGGGGGATTCGCGAGGGCGCAACGTGACGATTCGCGGGGGTGGTACGACCGAGGAGATTGACGCGATGAGTCACGCGGGCGATACGACCATGGAGACCGCCGGAATGACTCACGGGGGCGGAATGAGCAAGGAGGGTCTGGAGGAGACCGCCGAAATGATTCACGTGGACGAAATGAGAGAGGGGGATATGGCGCGTTATCTGATCCGTATCCGAAGTCCCCTGACCCCAGAGCAGCCAGGGGTTCGATCTCTAGGAGCGCAAACGACAGGCCATCCATCCCCAGGAACTCTTGCGTCTATTGTAGAGGAGATTATCGTATCCAGGGGGACTGCGCGGATCTCAAGCGGGCAATAGATGAGGGACTTATCGTGCTTGATAACCGCAAGTACGTCAAGTGGGCAGATGATCTTGGAGACGTATCAATGTTCCCTTCGATGAAGGAGAATGTGGAGGCAAGGAGAGTAAAGCCGAGTAAAGGAAAGGAGTCGGTTAGGAGCCAGAGTATCAAGATAACTTTCGAAGGAGATATGACAACTACACCCATAAGGGTGGCAGCTACCAAGTCAGCGAGAGGCTCTACATCGAGGAAGACTGACACGGATTATGTGATGGCAGAAAAGGATGGACAACGGATCGATAGGGAGAAGGTTATTCTTTCACCGCGAAAGCGCGGAGTGAAGAAGTTATTGATGAAGAGTTCGTTGGATGACATTGACACGGTCGAGCCCCTGAGACGGGCCCTTCGGCAGCCCATGCAGTGCTCTATTCTGGAATATCTGGCAGCATCCAAGCCGGCTCGCGACGAGTTACAAATGATCCCGCGAAAGACTCGCATACCTCTATCGGAGGAGGTTCAGGTGGCCCCTAAGGCGGATGCTCCTACAGTAGCAGTATAAGAGGTGACATCTCGAGCAGATCGCATGGCGACAGTTCTTCTTGATGGGATGGAAGGCATGCCTCCAGACAAGTTTTACATACTTGGAAGTCGGACCATGGAGGCGATCCTAAACGACGGAGCGGTTCTAGATGTTGTGATCGATAACGGCAGTGAGGCTGTCATTATAGACGAGAATCTGGCAGAGCGAGTTGGACTGAGACTCGATAGGTCATACCTATTCGAGATAGAGACGGCTGATGGGGGAAAGCAACAGATCACAGGGGTTTGTCACAAGGTAGCCATAGAGGTCCAAGGGGTACGAGTGACCCTGCCAGTCTTTGCAGTCAAGAACTGCAGCTCTGACCTGCTCTTGGGACGGACGTGGTTCAGCCATGTGCATGAGGTGACGATAGAGCGACCGAACGGGAGCCAGACACTGTCCATTAAGAAGTTAGATGGGGCGCGGGTTATTATTGAGACGGTGGAGCCTCGAGACCCGAGGAACAGAGCAGCTCTCGCTGTGGGTGCGGGACCCAGTGATCGGATTAAGTCATTATCCACGGGGGAGGTCGCGAGGGGAGCCCGAGGGTAATCGGGATCACGGGAGAGGGCAGGGGGGGTGGTCGGGATCGCAGAGGGGGACGTGGGAGGATTTGAAGTCGGGGGAGACGATGAAGGGGCGAGTTGAGTGTAAGCGATTGCGGAGGGGGACGTGGGAAGATTGAAGTCGGGGGAGATGATGAAAGGGCGGGTTGATTTTAGGCGAACGATCGGGATCGCGGGGGGGCAAGTGGCCGCGCTGGCACTCGGGGTTGCGGGGGGAGACGAGGAAGGGACGAGGCAAGGGGGATGTGGAAGGATTGAAGTCGGGGGAGGCGATGAGGTTTGAGCGAGCGATCGGGATCGTCGGGGGGTGATGCAGGGCCGGGCAAGCGGCCGCACTGGCGATTCGGGGATGCGGGGGGAGACGGGTCGCGAGGGTGGATAGAGGGTCAGGATCGGGGCCGGGCGTCCGGGATCGCAGGGAAGGGAAGAGCGAAGAGGTCCGGGGGATGATGACGGGGGGAGGAAGGGAAGAGGAGAAGTCGGGGGGATGAAGGGGACGGGGGGGTGATGGCAGGGCGCCCGGACGGATGGGATCGCAAGGGGGGGCCATGTGATCTTGGTTCTTCCTTTTTTTTTTCTTTTGTTTTGTACGACATACACAGTGTTAAACCACCAGTACTGGGCCCAGCTATCAAGTCCGAGCCTTGGCCGACCGGTATGCCGATCCATGCCGAGGCTGGGGCTACCGAACGTTCACTTCTTGGACGTGTTGCTGAAAGAGGTGAGTGAAAAACGGAGAAAAATGGGAAAAGAAAATGACATCTGAATTCTCAAAACGAAGAATGAAAAAAAAAAAAAAAAAAAAAATGAGAAAAAGAAAAAGAAGAACCAAAGAAA